AGGCCCTCTTAGAACATTTTTACCCAGCTGACCCTCCTCATATGGATTCACCCGCTCAGGCAGCTAAAAGAACATTATGTAGATCCCCTCCCACGACTCCCGATGATCCATACTTTACCGTAGAGGAGGTGCTAGAGGTACTAAAATCTTTCTCCCCAAAAAAGGCACCGGGACACGATGGCTTAACATCAGATATTTGTCGTTCAGTCGCTGCAAACTTTCCCAACCTCATAACAGGACTATTTAATCGGTGTCTATCTCTAGGATACTTCCCGAAATTTTGGAAACTTGCCATACTTAAAATCATCCCTAAATCAGGAAACGTGGACCGTTCATCTTTGAAATCTCATCGACCCATTGGGCTCATACCAGTTTTTGGAAAATCTCTTGAAAAATTATTTACGGAGCGAATTTTGCACCATTCAGCCACCAGTGGAACTCTTAACCCACTCCAATATGGATTCAGACGACATTCTTCGACGACTCATGCACTGAACGACGCTATATCCTATATTAAAGACAATTTAGGCGAAAAACGACCCACCGTAGCCATTTCATTAGACATCAAATCGGCATTTGATCAGGCTTGGTGGCCCGCCATTTTATCCCGATTAAAGGAGATTGGATGTCCCGCCAACATTTTCCGCCTCGTTGCTGACTATCTCCGTGAACGTACGGTGGCTTTATGTCACGCGGGTGTCACTGCTACCACTACCACCCAACGAGGCTGCGTCCAGGGATCTGCTTGTGGGCCAGCGTTGTGGAATATTATCCTTGATGGTCTTCTTAGCCTGTCCTTTCCCGCCGGCTGTCGTATTCAAGCTTATGCAGATGACGTTTTTTTAATAGTTTCTGCCAAGGATCCCATCACACTTGAAAGAAATGCTCGACAAGCTCTAGACATGGTTGCAAATTGGGGCCTAGGTGTCAAATTAACCTTTGGACCAGATAAAACAAAAGCCTTGGCTTTTACTTCCAAGGCAGCTAGGGCAACTTTATCAATGTTAAACACCATCATTCCTTATAGCACTAAATTAACTTTACTGGGAGTTGTCATAGATCATCGCCTTCGTTTTCACAAACATGTGGACCATGTCATTGATAAAGCACAAAGTCTGTTTACGCGAATGTGTTTGTTCGTTCGGCCTTCCTGGGGCCTTCATCCTAAAAATATCGAAACAATTTACAGGCACGTAATTGTGCCTACAGTTACTTACGCTGCAGGTATTTGGGGTCATGTTGCACAATTAGTTACTGTTCGACGTAAATTACAATCGCTACAGCGTGTATTTGCTATCCGAGCCATTAGGGCCTATCGCACGGTTTCAGCTAATGCTGCCTTAGCCCTGGCACAATTCACACCCCTTGATTTGGAGGTGCTACATGTGCGCGAAATTGAAAGAAGTAGATTAACTCGAACTACTCAGTTCCTGCCGGATGACGTCATGTGGGAATCCCCTACACCCATTTCCAATCTTCTGCACCCTGCACATCGCGTCACTGTTCAATACTCTATTGCTGAAGGACAACAAAAAGTGGACGAAACTTGCCTTCCGAATACCGTGCAAATTTTCACCGACGGTAGTAAACTGGAGAATGAATCCGTTGGGGCTGCTTATATTTGCATAGACCCAGATTCACCCTCTCCCGTTACTTGTAAAAGATTTAAATTACACAAAGCTTGCACTGTGTTCCAGGCTGAACTTTATGCCATCTACAAAGCCTGCTGCCTCGCTGTGGAGAGGAAATACGAGGATACCCTTGTTCTCACTGACTCATTATCGTCTCTGGACGCACTCAGTCAGCGCAACAACGCCACTCCTCTCGTGTCACTTACCCACAAACTTATTCACGAACACCACTCTTTTGGAAATATTCGTTTTTGTTGGGTTAGGGGGCATGTAGGGATTGCAGGTAACGAGGCTGCGGATGTTGAGGCCGGTCGCGCTGCAGGTTTGAGAAGGGCTCCTGATTACGACCGATTCCCATTATCATATGTAAAGCGCCTTTCTAGGATTCGCATTCGCAAAGAGTGGGAGAAACGATACCAAGAGGCTGCTCAAGGCTCCCACACTCGAGATTTATTCCCCTCTATAACAATGATTCACAATTTTTTCTTAATCATCTCTTCCTCTTCATTCTTTCTTAGTCAATTTTTAACAGGACATGGTGCCCACCTTTCTTATTTATACCGCTTTCACATTGCTGCATCTAGCGCATGTCCATGTGACACTCAGACGCCACAAGATCCTCTTCATCTTTTGACTGATTGTCCAAGATTTACTATTAATAGACTTAGACATACTGCCATATGCTCAAACAGCAACATTAACCCGTTTCATATTCCTGATCTTATATCGAAACCAAAACTGCTCAAATCTTTTGTCGCACTCGTTGAAACTATCTTCTCAAAACTGAAATCTTTCAATAACTCTTCTTTACCGTCTTCCTCCCACTGAGTTCGTATATTGTAAGTTTTTTTTTTTTGAGCTTTAACCAGAAATCTTCGTTTACGGCACGATATACCTGTTGAGGCTTCTAGATTTCTTCTCGGTTTATCCAAATCATGAATACATATCCATATATTAGACATACTCAGAGTTAGTGAAGCAACATTAGAATTTTTGCTAAGGCTTCGAACGAGGCCTGTTCAAAGGCGTCCTTTCCACGGCCGCCGGAGATGCGATCCAACACAGATATGTACTTAAATCGGGGCCTATTTTTTTTTTGTTCCCCCACCGTCCTTTGGTGTGTCTTGACTTTTACCCACTAAGATAGATACTTACAAGTTTAATTATGCATTTAGCATCACAATATAATGTACATTACAATATTGCACTGTTAAAGCCTGCGCTGCCTTAGGCGGGACGTCGCGTCGGTCGGGCGCGAGTCCGCTCGCCGTGCAGTTTTTTTTTTTTGTGTCATTTCTCGGAGCGCTGGTGCTGCTCTATGAAATGGCATGAAGCAAGCGCGCCGAGCGGGTGCCCGCTCTGTGTCCCGCTTAACGCAGCGCACGCTCTTAGTTTTTTTTTTCTGTGAATGTTATAATTACGTTATATTATATAATAGTTTAAAAGTGTATATAATAATTACCTTAGGACTCATTTGAGTATGATTGCGTGTGTGTGGGTATCTCTCTCTGTATGTGTGCATGAGTTTGCTTGAATGTGTTGAGTGAACCCTGTATTCTATTAATAACGCATACTTTTGATAACCAAAGCACTACGCGTTCGCTTCGAATTGGCTGCTTCCACCCTCCCAGCTTCAGAATACCGCGCCTTAGACAGTCCCTATTAGTCGACCTTATTGGACGATGGTACCAGTTGATGTGCCTGTGATTGGCCATCGACGGCCAACTTGAAGCAAACGAGTAGTCTTTAACGCCACTAATGTGATTCAACTTTTCTTTACTTTGTTTTTGACCTCCCTATTTTCTTGTATACCTACTTTTATCTTTACTATCCTTCTATGCTTCCTCTTTCAGACTTCTGCCCGTGCCCCTGGCTGTATCAAATAGCAGCTTCGAGCACGGACAGTATATTATTAAACATGTTGAAATCTGATTAAAAATAACATAATTAAAAAGACATATTGTAAATAATCGAATAAAAAAATTATGAAAAAAAAAAAAAAAAAAATATTTACTGAATTTTTGAACATTATGCATCACGTAATATATTAATTGATTTGATAAATATTACAATGAAATGCGCCCCACGATTATATATATCTTAAAATCAACTATAAACATGGCTTACTCTAAAGCCCTAATGAAGTAAACAGAGAGTATATTTGGTTTATTTTTTTACTTTTTAGTGCAATAAGTAAAAGCGTGTTTTTAGTTTTTTAAACTATTAATTTATTACTAAATGGTTCTAAAATATTAAAACTTAAGAACCGGTTAATGACTGTAAATATTATGAATATTTTGTTCGAATAAAAATTTAAATTTTAAGTTTTCAGAATTTTTCCATCGCTTCGTCAAACTGTATTTGACCATTTATAAGTATTGCGCTTATTTCCTTTTTTTTTAAAAGGGTGGCAAACAAGCATATGGCCCGCTTAATAGTAAAAGGCACCATAGCCTATAGACGCTTGCAATATGACCCAATTCCCTACCCCATGGAGTCCTGGAGCCTCACACACTGATAGAAACACAACGCCGCCAAAGGTTGTGTTATTTTACTGTGGTCTTCTCTGGAGGAGGTTACTGCCCCAGACGGGCACTCCAATTACCATACCACATTACCGTTCTATATAATATGTTTAGTGATTATATCGTATAATTTTTAATTATTTATTTGTATTGAGGCACTCGGTTTGATACCTACATAAAACAATTGCCAGTCCGGAATTTATTTATTTATATAATAAGTGCTTGACCGATATACTGTAGTGATCATCAGTCATTTCTTGCCGATATCGCATACTCGTACATTGTGCCATTTTTAAATCGGCGAGGAGTCGAGATTCTGGCACTCGACTCCGCTCATTTGGGTCATCGGGAAAGCAAACGATGTTAATTGTTATCAGGAATCGTTTAGCGATTTATATTTTTGAGTAGTACAATGGCTTTATTTCAGTAAATAAATATAAAATTACTGTTTCGTCATACTTTGTTTTTTTTTTTCAAAGTTGCTGATTCAGATTAAAAGTCGAATCTCCTTGCAATAAAGCTCGTTGGATCAGCTTCAAAGTCGAGTTTTGGTGAACATAAACAATGAGCACAATTAGAATTCGCATCACAGGACTTTAAAGACAGTGACGTTGGCAAAAGGTTTCAAGAGTCCATGTTACGCTCGTATCACGGCTGACCCACTGAACATTCACACCTTGTTAAAGTAGGGAAAATTCTTTCTGGACCTTCACTCTGCAAAACTTTCAAAGTTCAGTTTGAAAAGTTAGGGCGGCTGGATTTTGACGGGTCCTCTATGCGAAAATGTGAACCGCGCTTTACATTAAATTGTGATACAAAGTTTCAGTTTAGAAATGTGGCTTACCTTGCCAAAACTGCCTTTTCCAAGTACTTTGATGAAGTGGAAGTCTTCAATAGTGTATTTTCGGAAGCGTGGGATGGATCTCGCTGGTGGAGTGAACCGACCCGTCTTCCTGAACAGGCCGTAAGCTGTCGATTGCTCTGCGGAAGTTAACAAACAAATTAATACCAAAAAGAAATATGAACAGACTAGCGGAGCGGCTAATATTAATGAGGTGGCAGTGTACTAACGTGGGTGAATGATTTAGTAGATAAATAGATCTGACGAACGTATGGCTAGCCTCAAATGTGATTGGAAGACGTTGAAGTATAACGCAGATTCGTTAGACTATTGACAACATTTTGGAACGAAAATGTTTTGAATTCCGCGTTTTTTCTTTTTGTATAATTCAGCTATTATTTATTAATATTCTTTTTATTAATTATCAAACGATAGATATAACTTTTTACTACACATTTTTTTAAATAAAAGGTACTGTTGACTAGACTCAGTGGCATAGCAGGGCGTGGGCGGAGTGGGCCCATGGCCTCGCACTCAAAGGGGCCTCGCCATGCCTCTTTAAATGCAAAGCCACCAGACATAAAATCCTCGGTTATTTTTAAATTGAATAAAAACCTAAGAAATATTTATTTATTTATTTTCTATTGGACATACTTGTCACAGACTGGTAACACAGCATAGTTTTACGAAACGTTTCCTTTCATACTCATAGGTACTTTATACAAAACAGTGATGCTGGTAAACATTTTGGAAAAGGGGAGGATTCAAAAAATTCTAGAAGAAAGTATTTTTTTATAGTTAGGTAGGCTGACTATGGTGGTTAAGTTCAGACGCGAAGATAGCTGATGCAGCAGTGACGAACCCACCTCACCTCACCTTGCCGGCCTGCACAAATATTACTTCACACCTTTTTAAATCCCAGATTGTGGGAAGGTGCACGCGCGCTGGCAAAGAATTCCACTTGCGATAAATACTACAAAGAAAGGAGTCACCAAGTTTCTTTGTCCTTGTAGGAATCGCTGTCACAGTAAACGGGAGGCAACGTAGGCTAGTTCGCGTGGTCTACGTAAGAAAATGGGAAGCGGGAGAACAAGGTTTCAATGTAGTCATTGGTATTCAGATCAGAGCGAACTTCCACACCGAGCATGGTGATGTGGCTCTGTAGCGCCAGTGTTGGGCCCGGGCCCCGAACAGAGGGCAGGGGAAGGAATGGCGGCCTTTTTGCCGTGAAACGTTGTTTCTTAGCATTGAACTCAACCAAAATCTTGGCACCCCATTCGGAAATGCGGTCCAAAAAGAGAAACGACATTCTTCCTATTCTTCTTGATTTCTACCCGTCCAGCCGCTGCGTATCCTAAATATCTCGTATGAACTATGCACTGTATTATCATCTGAATTCTGCATAACAATTAATATATCCAAGAGGAATTAAATCATTGTCGTGCAACAGAAAGAGTGCAGGGGATAGGATGAAGCTCTGAGGTACACCGGCATTCATGACATGAACTGCGAACTACATCCATTAGCAAGGATGCGAATCTTACGCACATGCAGGAAGCCAGCCTCCTAGATACAGAACAAGGCCAATAAGAAACTCGCAGAGAAGGTTTTTTAACCAGACACTCTGGAAAGCCTTGGCGATATCAAGGCTGATAACCAAAGACTCGCCCTGCTTGTCAATAACCTCACCCCAATGTGTGTCACGTATTCTCTTGGTTTTGACCTAAGTCCGTATTGACGGTAGTTAATCAGCGAGCGGTCCTCTAAGTAGCGGGACTGTCAGACCATGTTTGGCGAGATAGATTTGAGTAGATCATGAGAACTAACAAAAACATCCCGCCAAATTGGGTACTCCTATTTTTGAAGTCGGTTGAGAAACGAAGCCTCGCTGATGCTAATTTGCCCACGTCTATACTCTTAAATGCAAATATTTACCGGTAGACGAATACCAATCTCACACAATTTATTAGGTTAGTTTTTTTGAAAACGAATGCACCACCTACTACAGGAAACTAATAATTTTCCGGGATAAATATTATCTTAAGTCCTGCTAATATAAAACTATTTGTGTGCCAATTTATTTATACGCAACTATATAGTTCAGCCGTTTTTGCGCGAACGTGAATAAATCCAATAATGCATAAAATTCTATACTACTTCAATGAAAATTATAGTTTTATATTACGTGTCATCAAGTGAATTAAAATTACGAGTAAATATAAAAAATACATGGAATCACAAGTAATTTTTTGTTAATCATCTATTCGTATATCAATGTGGTTATTTACTGTCCGTAAATTTTATTTTTTAGTAAATTTTCCATACACACTTTTATTTACTAACCCTATTACAAGTTATTATTTCAGGCTATGTCTTCATCGGGTTTCGGTGGGTTTTTGTTCTTTTTATCTCCACACTAAAATTAATAAAAACGTTGAGGAGGTTTAGGTGGAAAAATGTCATTGACTGACAGATAGTTACTCTCAGATTTATATAATATTAAGATAGAATTATTAATATTAAACCTTCTCCGGGATTTCAATGCAAATTTTGTTAATTATTGGTAACGAACAACTGTATTTTTTATATTTAAAGCATAGCAGATTTACTGCTGTTCAGCAGGCCTATTATACTCGCTAATTGTGATATTATTTTGATGTCAATTTCACATTACGTATATTATGCTCTCCGAAAAATGCGATATCAAAATGACATCAACTTATGTGTATTATGATCAACTCTTTAAAATGATATCAACTTAAATGCGTATTACGTTCAACTTTTTGACTTAAAACAGTATCGCATAAACGACAAAAATGTGATACAGGCTATGATATTGATATGATCTTGATGTGACATAGAAATGTTTCATAATACCATTTAAAAACATTGTCAACCTGGCATCAACATCATATTGACATCACATTAGGATTATATTACTAAAGCATAATTGACCCGCTGGGAAAGTAACCTAAACCGTACAGGACACTATGTATTACTTACTATAATATGTATAGCATTAACTTTTGGTGGTGTTGTGGTTTGTGTTCTGAGTCTTACTTAGTGGTTGTTACCATTTTAAGTAATAAATAGGATCGACTTTATATCATTTTTTTGTACTGACTGTGATTGTAGACTTTTACTTAGCAGTAAGATTTGTTGCAATACGTACAAAATGGCAGTGGCCATGCCTTCTTTTCCAAAGGTCCGAAATTGAAAACTCGATAGAAGCATTTTATATCCTACTTTATTTATACTACTAAAGTACTAGCTCTGACTAAATAAATTGATGTCAGTTGTGCGAAATCTATTATTATTAATATCATAATTATATGAAGTATGTAATGAGCTATTTAAAGAAAATCTCATACCTATTTTTAGTGTTAAACAAACATGCATAGGTACTTAATAAAATTATATGAAACAAATCTTCTTTTAGCTTAATCGTGTCCGGATGATTACGCGTGAGATGAATTATTGGCACACGTGTTTTGGCATTTCAAAATTTCGTGTCACATTTAAATTTATAAGTATTGATGTTTCTACCGGTACGTTTTAACTCTAATATTTCCAGGGTGCTCAATTCAGGTAAACATTTTAAATCACTTAAAGTAACATTCTTTAAAAAAACACCTGAATAAAGGCATTGAACTTGAGAATTCTATTTTCTCTACACATCTATCATGCATGCGTGACGCACGAAAGTAAATGTGATATAGTAAATTCAGTTCCTCAGACAATTTGGCTGAAACGTCTTGTCTGATATCATGCTGTGAAAATATCTATGTGTTTTTAAGTCACTTGTTATGTATAGTAGCCTATACCTAATATTTTCGAGAATGTGTAAATGAAATTAATAAACTTGCCCAGAACCAAGGCCATTTCCCGTATTTTTATAAATTATAAACAAGAATAAATTAATGGTGTGTGTATTTAGAGAGCTAAAGAGATTGGACACTATTTTTAATTTGCAATATAAAAGGCTCAGAGACATTATTATGACTTTCTGCATCAAAACTTATTACGCACCATTAAATTTTAATGACCGGGTTAATGAATTGAAAGGTCATCGACAACGTGTTTCAGGAAAATGTTTACGTTCATATTGTACTCGTAGTAGAATGAGTATGACATAAGCGTATAGCATCTGTTAATATTAATTCTCTTTCACCTCGGGTGAGATCGCGACCGAGCTGCTAAAAATATTAGCTTTGTACAATATCAAGGTCAATCTCTAGAGGTTTCGGCAAAATTGCGATCACGTTATAGGTGTCATATAAATAAAGCATTTTTTGTCTATTCCTGTACCAATTTTAAAAAGCCAACTTTCATTATTCAAGTTCGTTGTATTACAACCTTATAGTGGTGAATCGTTAAAAAGTTATGAAAAGTCGTTTTATTGCCTTTAGTATTAAGATAGCAGTAAATATTTATGTGTATAGCTAATTTTATTTTACTAACTCCGCTAGCAAGAAAGTATTTAGTATTATATATATGTATATTGTATGCAATTTGAGCATATTAGACAGGATTTTTTAGAAATTATTTATGAATTATTTCTAAATGTTATTCTCTCTAGTAACAGGAAATGTTATGTTTGTCGATGGCAGATGTTTTAATAAGTAATAATTCACATTTCTTTCAGTTTTGTATCATATTTTGGCCGCTCGTTCAGATTATTATTTATTATTTGTCGCGTAGTAATAATCCTTCGTATCAAGATAGTCTCATTGATATAAAGATCTGAAATCTGTTGGTAAATTGGTTTTATTTTTCTGTTTTATTGTGAATATGCGCAGAAAGTTTAACATCGAAAATGTTCGATTGCATCAGTCACTAGTACCTAGTCCCCGTTTTTCAGCGAGGATGCGAATCGTGCATGGTGCTTTAATATAGCGAGATTGCAAATTCCGTAATAAAAAGTTCCATTTTTATAAATCATAAAATGACAGGTAACAAATGCATATAATATGAAAGGACAATGGCGAAATATTTGTTGAAGTAAATCTTTAGCGTCTATAGATGTCATTATCAGAAATGTTAATAAAATAATCTCAAAAGATTTATTAAACGATTCAGGAGGGTTGTCTAAGTCTGGAATTAAAAACTTAAAAAAGGGAAACACAATTGACTATTTATT